AATCAGTACTGATTGTCTAATTCAGTGCTCACTGCAAATGCAAGAAACAGGTCTCAATAGACCTATACCAGCAGCTTACTAGAATAGAATAGAATAGAATAGAATAGAATAGAATAGAATAGAATAACAGAGTTGGAAGGGGCCTTGGAGCTCTTCTAGTCCAACCCCCTGCTTAATCAGGAAACCCTATACCACTTCAGACAAATGGTTATCCAAAATCTTCTTAAAAACCTCCAGTGTTGGAGCATTCACAACTTCTGGAGACAAGTTGTTCCACTGATTAATCGTTCTGTCAGGAAATTTCTCCTTAGTTGTAAGTTGCTTCTCTCCTTTATTAGTTTCCATCCATTGCTTCTTGTTCTACCCTCAGGTGCCTTGGAGAATAGCTTGACTCTTCTTTGTAGCAGCCCTTGAGATATTGGAACACTGCTATCATGTCTCCCCTAGTCCTTCTTTTCATTAAACTAAACATACCCAGTTTCTGTAACCATTCCTCGTATGTTTTAGCCTCCAGTTCCCTAATCATCTTTGTTGCTCTTCTCTGCACTCTTTCTACAGTCTCCACATCTTTTCTACATGGTGTCGACCAAAACTGGTATTAAGTGGTATTAACAGTTCACGTGATCTTGATTCTATCCCCCTGTTTATGCCGCCTACAGCTGTATTACTAACAGAAAACTGAAAAAGTGACTTATAGCTGTTTTTCACATTTACAACCATGGTAACGTCCCCACCCCCATGGTCATGTGACCAAAGTTCAGACACTTGGCAATTGTCTCATATTTATGACGGTTGCAGTGTCTCGGGGTCATGTGATTCCTTTTGTGATCTTTGGACAAGCAAAGTCAATGGGGAAGCCAGATTCACTTAGCCACCATTTTACCAACTTAACACCTGCAGTGATTCATATAACAACTGTGGCAAGAAAGGTTGTAAAAATGGGTTAAAGCACACTTAACATATGTCTCACTCAGCAACAGAAATTTGGGGCTCAATTGCGGTCGTAAGTCGAGGACTACTTATATTTGGCTATCATAAACCAACATGGCTCTTTTCCTTTAATGTTTAAGTAGTATATCTTTTTTTCAGATGCTCAAAAGATCAGATCATGGCTAGTGAGAGTCTGGAAGTAAATACATTTATCAACATTCTTCTCCTTTTCCTTCTCCGTCTTCTTTTCTAAAAGGTTTTTTTTTTAATGTCATAAAATAGATTTGAACATGATTGTTTAGAAAGATGGAGTAGAGGTACATAAATCTGATTTGTGCATTACTTTCTTCCTCCTAATTTAAATTTCTGACTTGAGAGAGAAAAGAAAGTCCTGTATTTCCCACCTGTCATCCAAGGATAAAGGATGTGGTCCATGCTCTAACCTATTTCATTTTTCCTCCCCCAAAGGTGGAACGATTTGCCAAATGCTTGGATCCAAATGATCTGGGCAAGATCAGCTTCAAAGATTTCTGCCATGGAGTATTTGCCATCAAAGGTAGACATTGTTTTTACAATTATTCTGTGAAATGTTGCTATTTATCAAGAATTGTAATAGTATTGAACATGGGAGTGACAAAGAGAACTACATTAAAACATTTTTGGGAAAAAAATATTCCACAACACAGTCCTTTCAGCAGTTCCAAAAAAGGTTCCACACACATTTGCTCTCTTCAGGTGACCCTGAGGGTACGGATAAACTTCCAGATGGCCTCAATGACTCTCAGAAGGAATGCTAAGGAACATAAATCCTTCCATTCCCCACCTTTCAGTCAGAACTGAAGAAGCTTCTTGGATGAGAAGCAAAATGCCCTCAAGGAAAAAAAAGCAAAAAAGCCCAGTTGCCTCTTGAAGAAGCACCTTTGGGACAACCTTGACCTGGACGACATGAAACTCAAGCATGGTTTCTACCACTGGGAAAACACTTCTAGTTGTGCTATTACTGCTGTCAAGTTAAGGAAAGGAATGCTAAGGTTCTCCATGATAGTTAAAGATTGAGACATAATCTTTGTTCTTCAATTACTTCTTAATGCTTACTTCTTATGTATCTTTTGGAGATCAAGCTGGTGTAGATGAGTGAATCCCCCTTTGTATTATACTTAAAACAATCTGGTCATGTAAGATGCTCTGAAAAAAATCTGATCCAGTAAATTCCTTGATCCAGAAGAAACTTGAATCTCTACTCGCTGCCCAAAAGCCCACACTGATTAATTAAACTAGCCATTAACCAGGCATTCCTGGGTATTTATTTATAGGGGGAAAATGTCCGGACCAAACATAACTTCTAATGTTGGATTTTCCCCCTTACCAGAGGGAGCCCCCTTGTGGTGTAAAGCGGTTACCATGGCAACTCCACTGCGCTGTACAGTAGGAGCCATTTTAAGGCACAACAGGCTGTATCGTAACAAAACACCCCCCTCGAGGGCTATTAGGGGTGTTTTACCCCCACAGTATTTTTTCCTGATCTATTAGAGCTTGCACAGCACTTCTTTAGCTTCAGAAATAAATCTATGTTGCACCCACATTTGTCCTGTACCTAGAGAAGAATCTGTTCTCATCCCTGCAAAGTGATTTGACATTTTTGTGTACACAATCAGTGAAGCCTGAAAGTCAGCATCCGGGGGCTCAGAGCGAAACTTGGCACCCTTCACTCACAATTCTTGCTCTAAATGTTTTTGTCCTTAACTGTTTGGCTTGTTTTATTTTGCTAGGGACAGGAGTACGCAGGAATTCCACAAGGGACAGGAGACTACTGCACATGTACTCTTCAGTGCTTTAGTATGGGAACTAGGACAAAAATTCGCCGCATCTGATGAATAAAACTGATTTCTAAAAAAAAAAAATGCATATGCCGAGAGATGAAAAATAAATGAAAACTCTGCGGTAATTTTTTTTGGGGGGGGGCATGGAATCAAACACACATCAATATTATATATACATCTGATATAATGTCTGATGCTGAAGACCTTGAAGGAGAGCTGGAGGGAAAATAATTGTGCCTACAGCTTCATTATTTTAAGAGGCATCATTTTTTGTGTTTACTCCACAATGTTGTGTACATTGTACCCTAATTATTTTCCCTCTTGTTTTATGTAGCTCTCACATTCCTCTTTCCTGGCACTTATTTTCCATTAATTCACAAGTAGTTCTAGACTCACAATCACAACAGGGCCCAGAATTTCAGTAGCTAAAGGATGCAGTCATTAAGCGAGTTCTCACATGACCTGATTCTATGACCATTTTTCAATGGCCCTTAAGTGAATCACATGGTCGTTAAGTGAATACGGCTTCCTCAATTGATTTTGCTTGTCAGTTGAGAAGATCGCAAATGTGAACCTGGGACTGTAAGACACTGCAACCATCATAAATGTGAGCTCATTGCCCAGCACCTGAGTTGTGATTATGTGGCCATAAGCAGTGGTGTGATAATTGTTGCTTTGAGAATGGGTCGTAAGTCACTTTTTCTCAGGCTGTTGTAATTTTGAACCATCATGAAATGTACAGTTGTAAGTCAAGGATCATCACCAGGAGTTGGGATTTTAAACTTCAAATTTCTTTTCATAAGCAATTTTCTTCTTGCTATCATTTCACTCTTACTCACAGCTGTGTTTTGTCAATGTTCATTTTTTCCTAAGACCCAGAGTTGACACAACCAGATAATTGTCTGTCTCATACTCAGAATCTTTTTAACACCTGTGTATGTTCCACTGATTGTCCCAGTTCTTAATCATAAACAATAAGAGCACTTCTGTTTTTGATTACCGTATTTTTCGGACTATAAGACGCATTGGTGTATAAGATGCACCAAGATTTCAAAGAGGTAAGTAACAAAAAAAAAAGTTTTGTCCTCCTCAGCCCCCAGGAGCACTCTGCAGGCTTCAGCAGGGGTGGGGAAGGCAAAAACACCTCAGTTTTTGTTAAAAAATGGGCAAAAAATGAGGTGTTTTTTGCACAAATTGAAGTATTTTTGCCTTCCCTCAGCCCTGCTGAAGTCTGCAGAGTGCTGCTGGGGGCTGGGGGAAGGCAAAAACGCCTCAGTTTTTGCGATAAATTGCCCATTTTTCGCAAAAATGGGATGTGGGGGTGGGGCTTTGGGAGGCCAAAAATGGTTGTATTTGGTGTATAAAACGCACCAACATTTCCACGCTCCTTTAGGAGAGAAAAGTGCCTCTTATACTATAAAAATACGGTAATTCCTTTGTCATTCATACATATAGACAGTCTTAAGATATATATTTGAAACAAACCAACCTATTTCTAAGTTTATACTCAACATCTTTTGAGTATATTCTGACTGATTCTTGGGCTTCAAAATGGCTCCGTCTCTTTTTCTGTACTTGTAAAGCTTATTCCCACCAATTCATTCATTCGTATCACTTAACTCCCCCACCCCCGGATTGCATTTGTTCAGTATGCTGTACATTTTCCCTCCAAACTCATCCTTGATTCTTCACTTATCTCTGTTTAATGGGCCATAACAGGCAACTAGGGGCCATGATGGCTCCCGTTACTTGCCCCAACTGCTGCATACCTAGCAGTTTGAAAGCATGCAAATGCAAGTGGATAAATAGGTACCACTTTGGTGGGAAGGTAGCAGCATTCCGTATGCCTTTTATGTATAGTCATGCTGGCCACATGAACACAGAAAATGTCTTTGGATAACACTGTCTCCCTCAACTAAGAAATGGAGCTGAGCGCTATGACTGGACAGGAGAAACCCTTACCTTTATCTTTACCTTGCCCTGAGTCCCCTCAGGGAAAAGGGCGGCCTACAAATGCAAATAAAACCTCTAAAAAAAAAAATGCAAAATAAAACCTCTACCTAACAGGCAACTAGTGCCAACCCATGAATTTTGACTTTTACACAGGCCTAAAAGAATGGGTGGAATACATTTTTGCTGTTTTCTTCATAACTCAACCTCCTTCACTTCTGCAAAGGTATTCATCAACTCCATTTCATAAGATCAGACTATCTTCATTCAAATTATATGCTTGCCTTTCGCAAATATACAACATATCTATTTTCCTTTTTTCTCCTTATAATTAATTAGTTCATGTCTAAACCACAAAAGGAAAGAGTAGACCAGTCTTTGTGGTACCCAAACCACATGCCACATTCCCTGATAAGGAGTCAGGTTTGGCTCATTTTGGCCAGGATGCATCAACTCTAGCCAGCTAATTTTCAAGGGAGATGGGCAGTTAAAAATATGAAATGTAAATAATAAATAAGTAAAGAAATAAATATATAATCCAAGGATGCTTATGTTATCTATTCCATGTCTCTGCAATCTAGCAATAAAATTCAAGCCAAGGCACTGAGACATGTACCTACCACCAATAAAGAAATAATGCAGTCTCCTAACATGTTCTTTAGTGTAGTCTACACTAAAGAATTTACCAAACTAGGAATTCATGTCCCAATTTCACCCTCACCCTGCCTGCCTTTAGGTTTCTTAGACAAGTATGATATAAAACAAAACACATTCTCCCTCTAGTGGCCAAGTTTATCCTCTCCCCTCCTATGCAGGGAAAGAACAGTTAGGATTTTGTGATAAATTTGCATCATTTGCTGACTGGGAAATGTAGTTTGCAAAGGTTAGCCTCTCTTTGTTTGGAAATGCCCACCTTATAATTTGAGGCTTAGAAAGTCGCAAGAATGAATATTCATTCCCCACAGCTTCTGATTCCTCAATCGGATGAATTTAAGCATTTTAGTGTAAGTGAATTTCTTTCCTTCCTGCGACTGCATAACCACGTGTTCCAGGAACCATTCCCATATTGTAGGGAAGCAAGTCCAGATCAGAGGTGGGTTCCTACCAGTTCGGCCCGGTTCAGCCTGGTTCGGCCGAACCGGTAGTGGTATGCTGGCCTGGGTCACAGAACTGGCAGCGACCCAGGCTGGCCATGCCCCCAAACTAGTTCCCTGGTCCTCGCTGCCACCATCTTTTCTTGGAATTTTGTGCATGCACAGAAAAATTTCCATTGAACTGTGCATGAGCATCCATGCACATGAGCAAACCAACAGTAACACCGGCTGAAACCCACACCTGGTCCAGATGTACAGTCAGGTGTGATCCTGGCAGAATGTTGCAGCCAATACTGCCTCTCTAGCAGTATTCTGGTGTGGTGAACTTAGTTACCCCTCCTGTTATGTTTTATTTTCTATGTAATCATGTATGAATTGCTAATCATCTTGTGACAAGTATTCAAGAATTATTTCATTTATGTTCCACCCTTCCCTTGAAGAAGTTGGCACATATGTCTTTCCTCAATGAAACCTATTAGACATATATGCAATAATAGAAATACAAAAGAGCATTGATGAAATGACGATTTAAAGTCTTTCTCTCATGGAATGATAGTAATCAGGGTTTTTTTTATTTCTTTGATAAAAAGCCAGTTCAAAGGATGACAAGGAGCAAAGCAGATTTTAAATCCAGTAAATTGTAGGCTTAGATTCTTCCAAAACATTTCCCAAAACTGCAGGTGATTTGATGA